GCATATTTAGCTAGATGTGGGAAGGCTGCACAGAACCAGTTTCCTGTCAAATAATTGTGACTTTTGACAGTTTTTCTTGCTTCTCTCCTCTCCCTTACCTCTTTTTGTATTTGCTTACTCTTTTTTTTTCTTAAGAGAACATAACAGAGGTGATGCCAAGGCAGTGGTCATTCCTGTCCTAGAAGAGCTTCCTAGAGTGGAATGAAATCATGTTCTTGAGCCCCTTCTACAGATGTGGACACTGAGGCCTGGAGAGGGGAAGGGACCTGTCCAAGGTCACACAGTGAGTCCAAGTTCAGGGTTCTCATCATTCCACCAAGAAACCTCTAAGTGGTACTATTTAAACCATCTCTGGAGCTTCAGAGTAAGAGATGGAGAGAACAGGGCCCACAAATGAGGGGGTCCCTTTCATGCATGAGGAGGCATTTGGGGAGTAGGAGGGAGAGTGGGAGCTGGATGAAATTGGGCTTCAGGACACCAACTGAAGCTACTGCCCTCAGAATAAAACAAGCCAGACTGTCGGGGGGGTTGGGGGGTGCACATGAGCATGTGTGATTGTGTGTGTGTTAGCGGGGCGGGGGGGGGGGGGGTGGTTGAGTAGTTCATTTATCTGCCTTCAGTCCATGTCCAGTGCAGAATTTAATGTGTTTATTAAGAATTACAGATGTCTAAGTCTCTTCTCCTTTAGTCTGAATCTTGTCCCACCCTCCCTTGCTTCACATCATTAACCTCTCCTGACACTATTCTTGTTTTCCTTTCATTTCCAGTCCCTGACCCCAGCCCCCCACCAAGGCACACTAATAGGAAAAAATTAAAATACTTAAATTAGCAAAGTTCCTTGAAGGGGCATTTTGATCATTAACATTGGTTTCTTCCCTACTTTTAATAAATGTGGTAAGTGCTCAGTACATAGTGAGCACTGAGTAAATATTTGTTGAATGAAGTGTCTTTTAAACATATTCTTGGATGGTAAAATTAATAATGGCAGGAATTATATTCATTCATTCAGCAAATATTTGTTAAGTGTTTACTACATGGTTCTAGGTCCTGGGGACACATGAGGAAAGAAAATGGGCAAGGTATCGGCCCACCCAGGGTTACGGTCCAGACTGTGAGGGATGCCATGGGAAAAGCACTCAGGATTTGGAGTCAGAATGCCTGGACTTGGGGATCCTGCTCTGGTACTTCAGTGTGACATTTAAAGCCCTTAACCTCTCTGAGTCTCAGTTTATCCACATATAAGATGAGAATAGAAAAATACTTCACGTCCGGAGTTCATTGTGAGGGCTGGATGTGACACGGGTGCAAAGCTGGTCTACAGACACTTACATGCGCTCGGTCATGTCTGACTCTGCTTCAGTTCCATGGGCTGTAGCCCGCCAGGCTCCTCTGTCCGTGTGATCTCCCAGGCAAGAGTACCGGAGTGTGCTGCCATTTATTCTCCAGGGGCTCTTTCCGACCCAGGGCTTGAACCTGCGTCACCTGTGTCTCCTGTATTGGCAGGCAGATTCTTTACCCTGAGCCACCTGGGAAGCCCCACAGACACTTGTGCACTTGTACAAACGGCACTGACTTTCAGAAGATTTGGTGAAGATAGTTTAACAAGAAATCGGCACTAATATTTACCTGGGCAAAGTCACCTTATTTGGGCAGGGGGAACAGATGCCACCATAACTGATAAACTGACGCCCATTCTTGTTCCCACTGACGAAGCATCTTCAGGGTTCTATGCCCTTGGGAGCATCTTGTCCCCTCCCACAGGGAGGTAATTGAAGAATGAAATAAGAACAAGGAGCAGATTCTTAAAAATGGAATGTTGTGGATTTATCTCCTCTCTTTTTTTTTATAACGCTTAAATACTTTCGGTGTTGGCAGAATTTCCTAACCACTTTATTGGACATTGCACGGCTCTTCCAAACTGGGTACACTCCGAAGGGACAATTTAAACACAGTAGCTTAGAAGCAAAAGTGAAGCAAGGGCCATGAGACTCCCAGAGGAAAAGAGTTATGTTTTCACATTAATGCATCAGCTACTATGTGCAACATTAGAAGCACGGCTGCCAGAGATAGAACCAGTAGAGGAGGTGTGACTTTTTTCAGTCCTTCTCCCCCAGGTGACTAGATAAGTAAAATAAGCAGATATTTTCATTACATACTTTATCAGATTTTACGGAAATGAACTTGAATCCTTCCATATTGCTCGCCCAAGCTTGCCAAAGTTAATGAGGCATAAGATGATGTTAATATTAAACTCAGTATTAGTTTCGTATTTATGTATTTAATATTAATGGTGCCTGGAATACATGTTTTCTTTGGGGAGGAAGGATTGATGACTTGCCTAGGATCACAGTGTTATAAAATTCAAACTAAGTCCCGATTCTCCAGATTTCTAGTTCATTGGCCTTTACGTAGCCTTAAAATTCACTTAAGTAAAGTAAAAATCACTTTCCCTCAAGAAATAACTGACTTTAGGAAAATCACAAGGAGAAGAGAAGAGTCTTCCACACAGAAAAATTCCAAACAATTTCTGAAGATGCTTCACTCCTTGGGTATGGACCTCACAGAATAACTTCCTTCCAAGGGGGACAGGATGAAAAGAAGGGGGGAAAAAAGTAGCTTTACAGTAGAGAGACTTGGCAAATACTCCCTCGGCTAGATGACCAAGGTCAACAACAACTGTCATAAATCATCTTGATGATGTGTACCTTTGATATGACGGGATGGGAATGACCTTTAACTCTCTGATCTGCCGCCCTAAACCCACAACTCCTGTGAATCCTACAGAAGAGCTGACCAGGACTCCTCAAAACTGTCAGTCATTAAACACAAGATCACAGCCAAGAAGAGACATGACAACTCAATGTAATATGTGCTCTGGATAGGATTTAAAAGAAAAAAACACCAAAAACATTTTGTATTGGGGTATAGCCAACTAACAATGTTGTGATGGTTTCAGGGGAACAGCGAAGGGACTCAGCCACACATATGCATGTATCCATTCTCTCCCAAATCCCCCGCCCCTAGATAGGATTCTAAAACAGAAAAAAAGACATTAGATAACAGCTAAGAAAATCGGAATGAAGGATAACCTTTAGGGTTCCCTGGTGGTCCAGACTGTAAAGAACCTGCCTGCCAATGCAGGAGACCCCAGTTCGATCCCTGGAGAAGGGAATGGCTACCCACTCCAGCATTCTTATCTGGAGAATTCCATGGACAGAGGAGCCTGGTGGGTTACAGTCCATGGGGTCGCAAGACACAACTGAGCGACTAACACATTCACTTTCTTTTCCTGTCACTCTTCTTCTTTTAGTTAATAATACTACTACAAATGTTGGTTCGTTAATTATAAAAAATGTACCTTTACTAATGTAAGATGAGAGAGGAAGTTGGTTGTGAATTCTATGGAAACTACCATCATCTCCATTTTTCTCTAAAGTTATTTTTTAATTAATCATAAGTTACAGCATAAATTGCATAAGAAAAACAACTTACCAGATGTCACTTTGCATGCTACAGCTCCAAGATTCCACAAAGACAGTGGCGACCTCTTTGCCTTGGTCGAGGTTTGTGGAACCAGCTGGGGTAGAGAGCCCTTTGTGGCCACCGTCATAAAGCCACATTTACACAAGCAGAAGTGAAACTAATTTGCCATCAGAGAGCTATTTATGACAGTCTCCGCCCTCATAAATAGATATGTACTATTTGCGCCTTTCCTTTAAACTTAAGTTGTATGTGAACTGGGGCACTCCTATTTTTCTCTTCCCTATGCCTACACATTAGTCACTTTTCCTTTCCAAATGGATTGCAACCTCCCCCTGCAGTATCCTTTCCTTGAAGATGAGAGTTATTCTGATGGATCTGATTTAACATAAGCAGCAAAGAAAAACGCCACAGTCCCAAGAGAGACGAAGTATGGGTTCCCCCCACCCCAAATAGGAGACAACTGGGAGAGATGGATAATATGAGATGATGAAGATAAGCTGATTCTTGATACATAATGCTGAAATTCACCAAAACCAAATGACATTGGATCATGTGACTGTAGAAATGAATGTCATACAGTTTTAAATAACTCTTTCTGGAACTTAAATTTTACGTCCACATTTTTAAAAACAGAACATAAAAACAAGGATTTTTGAAATGCCATCCAGGAGAAGAAAGCAGAACCTATCCCTCCTTGCTGTAACCCAAACAGTCACATCAAAGTCAGGGATAAAATCTGTTTTTTTAACATTCAGCTTCAGGTAGTGTTTGACCTTCAAAGACAGAGTCAATCATTACTAGGTTAACACTCAGTAACTGCAGGTATGTTTATAGTCCAAAGTGGGAAGGCAACAAAAGGTCAGAAAGAATGTGGTCTTAAAAACTGCTTGCAACTCTTAGCAAGATGGTGTGCCTCATCCATTAGAAAACCATAGAAGTTCCAATATAGAGTTCAAAACAAAATCAACATGAACTACCATCACTAGTGCTGGATTTCTTTGGGCTGAAATCATAACATATATTCATGTTCTGTGAGCTTAGCTCTCCCTCTACTGGTTGTTTCTCTGTTTCAATAGTCACCTGTGTTCTTAACCAGAGGTACTGCTAAAGTGTGTGCATGCTAAGTCGCTCCAGTCATGTCTGACTCTTTGCGACCCCCGTGGACTCTATCCCCACCAGGTTCCTCTGTCCATGGGATTCTCCAGGCAAGAATACTGGAGTGGGTTGTCATTTTCTTCTCCAGGGCATCTTTCCCGTGCCAGAGATTGAACTCACATCGCCTGTGCCTCCTGAATTGGCAGGCAGGTTCTTTACCACGGAGCCACCAGGGAAACCCCTAATAACTAAAATGAATTTCGGTCATTTTTAAAACTGCGTTCATTAAGGTGGGCTTTGGTACTATTGGACGCCTGAATGCTAGCTCCATTAGAAGTTTGGCAAACTACCAAGCTGAATTTTCATTGAACTCACTAGAAACATTGAAGCAACTGAAAGAGAACTTCCACAGAGTCCCACCATCACACCCAAGCCTCCCTCAGGACATATATCACTGGCTCTGCCTTCCAGCCTGGAAATAGCTGAACTACGAATATGCCCCATTTATGGCAAAGAATGCTGAGAAAGACCGAGGGCAGGAGGAGAAGGGTGTGACAGGGAATGAGGTGCTTGGATGGCATCACCGACTCAACGGACGTGAGTTTGAGCAAGCTCTGGGAGATGGTGAAGGACAGGGAAGCCTGGCGCTGCAGTCCGTAGGGTCGCAAAGTCAGACACGACTGAGTCACTGAACAGTGCCTATGCCCATCAAAAGCTAATCCTTTCTCTTGGGCACCAGATCCCATTCCTTCCGTCCAACCGCAGGACGGGGAAGACTACCTCTCCCTCTTCATTCATCAGATTTTCAGTATCCCCTGGATTATTCCCATAGGCATACAAACATGCTGTTACTTATTCCATTTTAACAAAAGCTCCCTCTGACCCCGGCTTCCCTGCCAGCTGCTGTCCCATTTCTCTGTATTTTATGGCGAACCCCCTCAAGAGTTGTTTCTAAAGCTGCTGTCTCAAAGCTCTCTCCTTTTAATCATCAACCCACTGCAGTTAAGCCTTCACCTCTACCACTCTGTGAAACTGCTCGTGTCAGAGTCTCCGGTGACCCTAGTTAATGTTCAACCTTCCTCTTCGTTGACCGATCAGTGGCATTTGATCCAGGGGATCGCTCCCTCCTCAACCACACACGCCTAGTTTTCTTCCCACCTCCTGGCTGCATCTCCTCAGCCTCCTTTCCTCCTTACTCCTGTTTCCTGGTGATAACAGAATACTCCAAAGCTTAATCTTTGGTCTCTTTTCTTTCTATCGCACTCTTTTCTTTCTTTTAGCCTCACATCTGTATCACCCATATGCCCATCACCCTCATTTGGTACTTCCAGCCCCAATCTCTTTCATGTCTTACAGCTCACAAGGTATCCCAAACACAACATATCCAAATTAACCCCCTGTTCCCCCAAAACCCCACTCCACCTACAGTGTTCCTCAGTTCAGCTCGTGACAGCTACATCCAGCCCCTCATCCAAATCCTTCCATGTCACCCTGGATGTTGATGCCTGTCTTTCTCCCACACTCCACATGTGGCTGTCAGGACATCTTGCTTAAACAATTAAAGCAGATTCAGAATCTGAACATGTCTCACCACGCCCACTGCTTCCTCTCCTACTCCAGTCATAATCATCTCTGGTCTTGTTCAGTGCCTCCCAAATTCTGCTGCACTTTGGGATCACCCAAGAATCTTAAAAAATACTAATGCCTGGCTGCCACCCCTTTGATATTTTGATTTAATTGGCACAGGCTGTGACCTGGGCACTGGTACTTTTCACCTCTCTAAGTGATTCTCATGAGCATCAAAATTTGGGAATCCCTGGCATAGATGCAATAATAGCCACCTAACTGATCTCCCCACTTCTACACTTCTCCCTACAATCCATTCTCAACACAACAAATAGACTTAAAAATTTTTTTTATTCATCTATTTTTTGCTGCACTGGGTCTTTGTCGCACACAGGTTTTCTCTAGTTGTGGTGAGCAGGGGCTATTCTGTGCTGCGGTGAGCAGGCTTCTCATTGTGGTGGCTTCTCATTGCGGAGCATGGGCTCTAGAGCATGCGGGCTCAGTAGTTATGGCGGATGGATTTAGTTGCCCCATGGCATATGGAATCTTCCCGGCCCAGAGATCGAACGGGTGTCCCCTGCATTGTCAGGATTCTTAACCACTCAACCATCAGGGAAGTCCAGAGGTAATTTTAAATTATAAATTAGATTATAGCTCTGCTAAAAAGCTCTCCAGTGACACTCCACGTGACTGAGAGTAAAAGGCAAAGGCTATACACTGGCCTACAAGATCTTACATGAGCTGCAGTGTCCCCCACCCCACCTCACCCCATCACTTCTCTGACCTCTGTTACACTTCACCTCACTCACTGCTCAAATGCCAGCTACCTCCTTGCTTTCTATGAACACACCAGGGATTTTCTCACCCTCAGACCTTTATGCTAAGTTTCCCCTCTATTTGAAAGACTCTTCCCCCAGATATCTGCATATCAAATATTAGCTCAAATATTGCATTCTCAATTATAATTTAAAATCTCTTTCTCTTGTGTGAGGCTAAAAAGTGATGAGGTAGAGGATGGTGTCTTCAGATAAGGAAGATTGGGGAAAGGGGAGAGTTGGAATAAAAGTGTAGTTCCTTTGGAGACATGTTAAGGTTCTGATACCCATTACACACTCAGATCTAACACAGTGTCAAGTAGGAGAGGAGCTGGCGCTGGACTACAAACATGGGAACAAACAGATGGTATTTAAAGCTCGGGTACTCTGGGGGTCACTTTCGGGGAGACAATTTTAAGAAGTGACCCTCGTGGAATACCTATATTTTGAGAAGATATACAGGAGGTTTGAGAAAAATTAGAAGACAAACTAAGTTTTTCTTGGAGGGTCCTAGAAGACTTTCTAGGTAGCTAACTTATGTCACTCGGTACTAGGATGACAGTAAGGACAAATACATATTACTGAATTTGTCCTGACGGACAGTCACGAAAACTGACCAGGAAGGTTTCAGTGTCATGGTGAGGCCAAAGACTTGGAGTTATCTCAATTCTAGTGCAAAGTAAGGAACTGGAAACAGCACCTATTCCTGTCTTCATGTGTTAGTAAGAGGGTTCTTTCTTTTTTAAATTTATGTATTTATTTGGCTGTGCCAGGTCTTAGCTACAGTGTGCAAGGTCTTTTAGTCGCTACCTGAGAGATCTTTAACTGGAGTGGATGAACTCTTAGTTGCAGTATGTGGGATCTAGTTCCCAGACTAGGCATGGAACCTCAGCCCCCTGCATTGGGAGCTCGGAGTCTTTAGCCACTGGACCACCAGGTAAGTCCCAGTAAGTGCACGCCTGCATGCTCAAGTCGCCTACCTACCCCCGCCTCCCAACCTTTGGTGGACTGGGCCGCTAGGCTCCTCCGTCCATGAGATTTTCCAGGCAAGAATACTGGAGCCATTTCTTCCTCCAGGGGATCCTCCTGACCTGAGAATCCAACCCGGGTCTCCTACATCTCCTGCATTGGTAGGCAGATTCTTTTACCAATGTTCCAGCCGGGGAGTTCTGTCGAAATAAGAGGGGTTCTTAACTTCCGGTCTATGAATAAAGGAGATCATGGATGGGTTTCAGAAAACCATGATCCCAGGTCCTGCCTCCAAACTCTACAAAGCTGTCCGCGTGTGGGTCCTTCTGGAGAAATTTCCAGAACTTTCATGACGGTTATTGATACGTCCCATTTACCTGAGACCAGAGTGATCAACTGGCGTCACAGTCTGGACCTCACAGCGTTACCTGACCGCTGCATGCTCTCTTCCAGGCTCTAGTCTCCGCCACACTGGCGGGCTTGTCATCGCTCTGTCCCTCCTCACATTCCCGCGGACCTAACGCATCCTAGGCTCCTCCACCTTATTTAGACACCATCCACATCCACCCGCTTGTTTTGGCTTCCTGGCGCAGCCTCCGTCCATAAACTCTGTCCGGTCGCTATACTGCTCGGGTCAAGGTTTCTAACGCCAGAGCTGCGGTGGCGTTCGGACGCAAGCATCCTACAGCCCCTTGACCCCCGGCTGAATGGCCTCAGTAGCTCTACCCCGTCTCCTAGAGGGTCCAGGTGCCGCCGCGGGAAGGCGGGGCTGACCCTTGCACTCGTGGTCTTCTCGGGGCAGCTTTACGATATATTTCCGTCGTTTTACGACAGGACAGGGTTGCTTTGTGGCTGTCAATTTCCCCCGTGGTCCGAGTGGATATCTACATTTTCTGGGGTGGCGGCTGCTACGACGGCGGGGAGATGAGGCAGAAGCGCAAAGGTGGGACAGGGAGAGGGGACGGGTGGTGGCAGGGAAGGGGCGAACCCGGGCCGTCAGATGCTGAGGTCGGCTTTTCCCGCGGGAATCTGCTGCCTGCGTCTCCCCACCACCTGTGGTCAGTTTGTGAACTCTGTTCCTGCTACTGTGCTTTTTAAACCAGCCTGTCCTTATTCCTTTTTGGCCATCACTTGGTGTCTTTTGCATTAATGATAAGAAAAGCTCTATTCCAAGAAATTAACGTGATCGATGGATTTAACACGGTCTCGAACTCATAATTTGCTAAGATTTTACTACACATTTCACATCCCTTTTGATTTGAGATTGTTTTAAAGTTCTAAATGTTTTTTTAAAAAGGAAAGAAAAACACCGAGTTATCTTTGGAATCTGTGGGGCTATTAGGCAGTTATTCCCATTTGTACTACCTCCTGAGTTATCGTGGAGTGATTTCGTCTTGAGTTTTTCAACCGGATAGAGTCCAATTTCAAGTACTTTCTCGCAGGTTGTAGTGTTATCTCTCAACTCTTTTGAGAAGTCGGTCTAATAGTAATGATGGTTATGATAACCGTAGCTACCGTTTATTGAGCCTTTGTTAATAATTCTTAGGTCGGTATCATCTCCAAATTACAAATAAAGAAGCAGAGATTAAAAGAATTAAGTAAATTTCCTGGCCCAAAATTATATTTAGGAAGTAGAACCGAATTGGTTGGTCAGGCTGTCTCTATGAATCCCGCAAACAAACCAACCCTGTCTCTCGGCATCAGGTACTCCAAGTATCCAAATTACCCTCAGTTGCTTTGTGGGCTCAAAGACTGCTTGCCCCTAATTAGTCAGTCATCTTCTCCCTCTAACTTGCTCCTCTAAAGGCCAGACAGCTTTACTTTTAATTTCGTCTGTCACCAAACCCTGCTAGTTCTTATAGAAATTGCCTCTTGCAATAGTTTATTCCTCATTCTAGCCACCATTCCTCTAACCCACCTTCATTGAAGAACTAATATTCGAATAATAGACTTTCACATGTACATTATTTCACTTGCTTCTTTCACTGGTCTTGTGAAATGTGTATGTATTATCCCGATTTTGCCAACAAGGAAAAGGGAGCTCAGGCGGCATTGATCTTCCCATTACAACACAGCCAGTGGGATTTGGGAGCTAGGACTGAGTCTGTCATCCAAGTGTTCTGCTTTAAATCTTCTGTGTGTTTTTTTTAAACAAAGTTGCCTTTAAGAGCCTTTTACTTAGTATGCAGATTATGTGTATTCTTTCATCTTCTGAGTCGTTTTTTGTATCCTCATTTTCTGTAGTATATTTTGTATATGGTTGACCCTTGAACAACTCGGGTTGGAGGCACTGCCCCCACCACCATGCAGTTGAAAATCCAAATACTGCTACCTCTTCCCCCAAAGCAAAAAATTGACCCAGGGGCAGTAAACTCACACAATTTGGATAGGATTAGGACTCAAATCCTAGTTCTTTTGTTTCCACATATTGTGGTCACTAATCAAACAAAAACTTTTCCCCACAGTTAATTTAAGGATCTGAAAAATACAGGTTCTGCATTTATTGGAAGAAAAAACCACATATAAGTGGACACACACAGTTCAAGCCAGTGTTCAAGAATCAATCTGTACTTATTTTCTTTAAGCACTACTTTGATCTTTTTACTCCCAAACTTGAGAACATATAATTCTCCACTGTGTATTGCATCTTTTGTTGATTAGCCAGTGTACCCTGTAATCTGATTTTACCCAACCCTGTCAGAAAGGCTCTATTCCAGTTTGGCAACACTCTTTCGTATAAACGTGATTGGTAATTCCCATACCTAACATTGTTCCTTCTGGATTATCCTCTGTTTTTCTTGTCCAAACCCCGCCCTTTCTTTAGATCTCTCTAATTTCCTCCATGAAGACTTTTCTTACTAATTTACTTCTCCAGATAATTTTTGATACACCGAAGAGCTGTCCAAATGTTTTTAAATACTGTGTTTTATTTATTTATTTTTACAAATTGAAGGTTTGTAGCAACTCTGTTGAGCAAGTCTGTCGGTGCCCTATTGCCAACAGCATTTGTTCAGTTCCTGTCTCAGTCATGCTCTGGTAATTCCCACAGGATTTCAGACTTTTCCACTATCTCTGTGTGTGTTATGGTGCTCTGTGATCAGTGATCATTGATACTACTTTTGTAATTGTTTTGGGGTCCCACAAACTGCCACGTAAGATGACTAACTTAGTCAATCAGTGATGTGTTCTGACTGCTCCACCTGTTGGCCATTCCCCCATCTGCATCCCTCTCCTTGGGCCTCAATGAGGACTGATAAATGCTACTGAATTAGGCCAGTTGGTAACCCTACAACAGCCTTTAAGGGTTCAGGTATTAATAAAGGCAGGGTCATACATCTTTCACTTCAAATTAATAGCCGAAAATAATTAAGCTTAGTGAGGAAGGCCTGTTGAAACCTGAAATAGACTGAGTACTAACTAAACAGCCAAGGTGTGAACAAGATAAAGTTCTTGAAGGAATTTGAAAATGATATTTTAGTGAACTCATGAATGATAAGGAAACAAACCAGCCTTATTACTGATGATGGAGAAGGTTTTGGGATGTGCATGGATCAACCAGCCACGGCATTCCCTTAAGCCCAAGCCTAACCTAAGACAAGGCCCTAACTCTAATTCTGTGAGGGCTGAGAGGTGAGGAAACTGCAGAAGAAAGGTTTGAAGCTAGCAGGGGTCGACTTCGTGAAGTTTAAGGAAGTCACCTCTACAGCATCAAGAGCAGAGTAGCAAGTTATCCGGAAGATCTAGCTCAGATAATTCGTGAAGGTGGCTATACTAAACAACAGGTTTTCAGTGTAGACAGAGCAGTCTTCTGTTGGAAGAAGATGCCGCCAGGACTTTCGTAGCTAGAGAGGAGAGGTCAGTGCCTGGCTTGAGAGCTTCACAGGGCAGGATGAGTCTTGTGGCTCAGCTGGTAAAGAATCCGCCTGCAATGCGGAACACCTGGGTTCCATCCCTGGGCTGGGGAGATCCCCTGAAGAAGGGAAAGGCTACCCACTACAGTAATCTGGCCTAGAGAATTCCATGAGCTATATAGTCCGTGGGGTCACAAAGAATCGGACACGACTGAGCGACTTTCACAATCACAGTGCAGCTGGTCTGGTGGCTCCGTGATAAAGAACCCGCCTGCCAATGCAGGAGACGTGGGTTTGATGCCTGAGTCGGGAAGATCCCCTGGAGAAGGAAATGGCAACCCACTCCACTATTGTTGCCTGGGAAATCCCACGGACAGATGAGCCTGGTGGGCTACAGTCCATTGGGTTTCAAAAGAGTAGGATACAAGTTGGTGGCTAAACAATAGCAAAATGCTCATTTACCGTTCGGAATTATGCTAAAAAACTCTGCCTGTGCTCTGTAAACGGAACAAAGTGTGGATAAACAGCACACCTGTTTACAACATGGCTTACTGATATTTTATGCCCACTGTTGAGAGCAGAGCCCTTTAAAGTATCACTGCTCATTGTCGATGTACCTAGTCACCCACGCACTCTGGTGGAGATGTATGAGATTAGTGTTTTCATCCCTGCTCACACAGCATCCATTGCAGTCTCATCCAGGAGTCATTTCAACTTTCAAGTCTTATTATTTAAGAAACCCATTTAGGCTATAACTGCCATAGCTAGTGACTCCTCTGATGGACCTGGGCAAAGTCAGCTGAAAACCTTCTGGAAAGGATTCACCATTCTCGGTGCCATTAAAATCATATGTGATTCATGGGAAGAGGTTAAAAAAAAAAAAAAGTTAATAGGACTTTGGAAGAAGTTGCTTCCAACCCTCATGATGACTTTGAAGAATTCAAGATGTCAGTGGAGGAAGTCCCTGCAGACGTGGTGGAAATAGCAGGAGAACTAGAAGTGGAGCCTGAAGATGTGACTGAATTGCTTCACTGTCATGATAAAACTTTAATGGATGAAGAGTTTCCTCTTATGGGTGAGCAGAGAAACCGGTTTGTTTAGACAGAATCTGCTCCTGGTGAAGATGCTGTGAAGGTTGTTGAAATTACAATAAAAGCTTTGGAATATTAAACTTATTTGATAAAGCAGCAGCAGGGTTTGAGGCGATCAACTCCAGTTTTGAAAGAACTTCTACCGTGGGTAAAATGCCACCAAACAGCATTGCATGCACGGAGAAATTGTTCATGAAGAGTCAGGGGATGCAGCAAACTTTCAGTGTGGTCCTATTGTAAGAGATTGCCACAGCCACCCCAATCTTCAGCATCCACCACCCTGAGCAGTTGGCAGCTTTCAACGTCGAGGCAAAACTCAACACCAGTAAAAAGAGTATATTTGCTGAAGGCTCAGATGGTAGCTCAGCTCGTAAAGAATCTGCCTGCAGTGAGGGAGACCTGGGTTCAATCCCTGGGTTGGGAAGATCCCCTGGAGGAGGAAATGGCAACCCACTCCAGTATTCTTGCCTGAGAAATGCCATGGACAGAGGAGCCTGGCGGGGTACAGTCCATGGGCTAGCAAAAAGTCAGATACAGCTGAGCAACTGAGCACACACGTATTCCTTGTGACTATTAAGTGCTCATAAGCAATAGGTTTTGGGGTTTCGCAGGTGACTCAGTGGTGAAGAATCTGCCTGTAGGTTGAAGGTTGCTATTGCGGAACGTGTCCACAAGGCGGCAGCACTCTTGTTTCTAAGGTAAGCAGCGTGCATGCTAAGTCGCTTCAGCAGTATCTGACTCTCTGTGACCCCACGGAAGGTAGCCCGCCAGGTTTCTCTGCCCATGGGGCTCTCCAGGCAAGTATACTGAAGTGGGTTGCCATTTCCTCCTCCAGAGGATCTTTCCCACCCAGGGATCGAACCTGGGTCTCCTGCAGCTTCTGCATTTCAGGGGGATTCTTTATCGCCGAGCCAGCGGAGAGGCTTGGGGAAATCCTTCTTCTCTCCTTGTAAATTAGAGTGCTGTGTGGCGCTGGTGGTGAAGAACCTGCCTGCCAATGCTAGGAGACATAAGAGACTTGGGTTCAGTTCCTGTGTCGGGAAGATCCTGTGGAGGAGGAAATGGCAACCCACTCCAGTATTTTCGCTTGTGAAATCCCGTGGACGGAGGAGCCTGGCGGGCTACAGTCCATGGGGTCGCCAAGAGTCAGATGCAGCTGGGCAGCTGAGCGCACACGCAGTCTTTAGGAATATTGAGTGCCCCTAAGCAATAGTTTTAGGGTTTCCCCAAGTGGCTCAGTGGTGAAGAATCTGCCTGTAGGTTGAAGGTTGCTATTGCTGGACGTGTCCACAAGGCGGCAGCACGTTTTCATGCCGCACTCTTGTTTCTAAGGTAAGCAGCGTGCATGCTAAGTCGCTTCAGTCGTATCTGACTCTCTGTGACCCCACGGAAGGTAGCCCGCCAGGCACGTATACTGCGTGGGTTGCCATTTCCTTCTCCAGAGGGTCTTCCCAACCCAGGGATTGAACCCGGGTCTCCTGCAGCTTATGCATTGCAGGAGGATTCTTATCGGGGAGACTTGGGGAAATTCTCTTCCCTCTCTGTAAATTAGAGTGCTCTGTGGTGCTAGTGGTAAAGAACCTGCCTGTCAGTGCTAGGAGACATAAGAGACAAGGGCTTGATCCCTGGGTCGGGAAGATCCCCTGGAGGAGGGCTTGGCAACCCACTCCACTGTTCTTGCCTGGGAAATCCCGTGGACAGAGGAGCCTGGTGGGCTACAGTCCATGGGGTCACAAAGAATTGGACAGGATTGAAGTGTCTTAGCACGCACACCCATGCCAGAAGAAGCCACCCAAAGCTTGTGTCTCATTTATTTAAGTTGTAATGCTATTGCACACTCAGCAGACTGTAGTACACTGTAAACATAACTTGTGTGTGCACCGGGAAGCCAGAATATTCGTGTGACGTACTTTATTGTAGTATGCCCTTTTTTGTGGTCGTATGGAACCAAACTGCATGAGGTCTGCCTGTATTTTTTTTTATCACCTGAAGCCCCTTTTTCCCTCCAAATAAATTCTTATGCAGAACTTCAGTATATAAACAGATGGAAGTGAAGCTGCTTGGGTTGAAATGGGGAAAGAGACCTTCCCTCTGCCCCCACCCCCACTTCACCTTCCTCACCACCAGCCCTGTCTGTTACGTGGCCCCTTGGGCACCTCTGTAGAATAGTGAAGGGCCGAGTTACACGGTTTAGAAAGTGTTAGCCTCTGATTATAGATGGACTTCTCTCGAATTGTTTATGGGAGCTGTGTCTCAGGAAATTAGAGGTGGCTTGGCACAGTGGGAAAAGGCATAGAAGTTGTGAGGGAAAGACCTGAATTTGAGTCTTAACCATGTCATTTATAATGATGTCTTAACTTGCCTTAATTACTCAAATCTGTGAAATGGGAACGCAGTGCCCACCTTCCAGTGTTGTCGTGAGGTGTCAGATGAGATCAGGTAAACGGGGGGCCAGGGCGCTCTGGTCTGATGATCTTTCTGTTGATGTTGTTATCTTTAGGCATCAGCTTGCTCTGCAGGTAGGAACTGTGCTTGCTAGCAGCTCCCGAGCTGAAATCTCACAGCTTTTACCACTGGACAGGGACTGGTGGTTTTTTGCCTTGAGTAAAAGAGCTCAGATTGGCCCCCTCCTGAGTAGGTGCCCATCCTTGAACCAGGCAAGTGTATTTGCGGGCAAGGGGTGGGTCATGCCGTGTCAGCTTCTGCAGTTGCCTCTTACGTGAGAAGGATGGCCTCATTTGCCAGGAGAAGGTTGCAGTGCTGTTCAGACTGAATCTTAGGGATGCATTAAGGTCCCTAGGCAAGTATACCAGACCCCTGCCTTTGTATTTCAAAATAGTATTACACTGCTGTGTAATTCTGCTTCTGGCGACCCCTGGGTTTGAGTTTCAGCTTCACCGCTTGGTAACATTTTTATGGGACAGGCAAATATTCTTGTTCCATCCACCTCACTTTCTTCTGAGAATCAGATGAAATAAAGCATCTAAACATAATTAAAAATCTGGAGATGAAGGGAAGCTGTTTTGACTACTTTGGTTCTTTCCTGTGTAATTAGGTTCTTTTCCTTCCTGTTTGTCTCTGCTCTTCCCTGTATTGTGCTCGTCGTGTATATGCTTCTAGAGTGAACTCTTCCCATATGTAGGTGAAGTCAGGCTTGTTTTTAAATTAAAAGGTATGAGATATAGGGCCAAATTGTAAACAATAAAAGTTCACTGTCTGGTAAACTTGAGCTCTTACTTCAGCATAATTGGAATGATTTTGGGAGGAACACTGCTAGTAAATACAAAAATGTTTACTGAATAATGTGACTTTTTACATCATCAAATATTATCTTTCCAGGAGACCTCAGCCCTGCTCAGCTAATGATGCTGACCATAGGAGATGTTATTAAACAACTAATTGAAGCTCACGAACAGGGAAAAGACATCGATCTAAATAAGTAAGTGGAGGGACTTCCGTGGTGGTCCAGAGATTAAGACTTGGCCTTCCAACGCAGGGGGGTGTGGGTTTGATCCCTGGTCGAGGAGCTGTAATCTCACATGCCTCAGGGCCAAAAAAACCAAAAACATAAAATAAAAGCAATGTTGTAACAAATTCAGTAAAGACTTTAAAAATGGTCCACATTCCCCCAAAAATCCAAAAAAATAAGTAAGTGGATCTATAGAAAAAAGAAGGTAATCTTCTTCTTTGGAAGTATTAATAGATCTCTTTCACGCATGCGATTACCAAATACTACTGGTTCTATCTCGTGTTTCATGTTTTAATTGAGAATTTAGTTTTCTGCCCTGCCCTGTTGATTATTTATGGCACAGTTGCCTCAGAGCCTAATATTACTAGCAGCTTCTAACATTTCTTGGGCACTTACTATAGTCAGGTCACTGTTAGTAGTACACTGTATGCAGAAGCCCAGCTGATCCTCTCAAACACTGTCTGAGGTCAGTACTTACCTCACTGGACAGATGGGTCCCCTGAGACAGAGAAGTTTACATAATTTTTCCAAGAGTGAATAACTGGCAATTGGCAGAGCTGAGATTTGGAATCAGACCATCTGTCTGCAGAGCCCATGGTCTGTCCTTCTGTCCATCTCACTTCACATCCTTCCTCTCCTTCCTGCGCCTCCTCTGTCCAGAGGAGGGGGTAGCTGGCTCCCAGGAAGACCCTCTCTTTGAGCCTTTTGATGTCATCCAGCCCTTCCCCGCTTCAGAACCTCTTGGACACGTCCATCTACTTCCTCTCCACAGTCAAGTTCAGCTTGGACTTGGCTGCATCGTCAAGTAAAAGTGGTCTCTCCTCCCTGCGTCTCTTTATCCACTGTATACAGATCTGCTCTAGTGATCTGCTTCCCCATCCCCAGGTCATCAGTGGTCTAGTCTGCATGCACATGACGTTTCTCTAGACCCGTCTAGAAAAAATATGTGGTACCCTTTCTTTGGGGGCATTGTGCTTAGTAAACATTGGCTGAAGAAATCTTTTTTACTATGGAGACATTATATTTTATTGATTTTTCTACCATGTGTTTAACTGATTTTTTCCCCCTATTTTTTTTGTTGGCTGTACCCATATTTATACAAATCTTTTATTTCTCATGAACATTTTCATGTCTTATATATTTTTGTCATTCTCTTTAATTTGGCACATCTAAAGCTAGATGGGGAAACAGTGGAAACAGTGGCTGACTTTATTTTTTTGGGCTCCAAAATCACTGCAGATAGTGATTGCAGCCATGAAATTAAAAGACGCTTACTCCTTGGAAGGAAAGTTATGACCAACCTAGACAGCATATTAAAAAGCAGAGATATTACTTTGTCAACAAAGGTCCATATAGTCAAGGCTATGGTTTTTCCAGTAGTCAAGTATGGATGTTAGAGTTGGACTATAAAAATCTGTGGTATTGGAGAAGACGCTTGAGAGTCCCTTGGACTGCAAAGAGATCCAACCAGTCCATCCTAAAGGAAATCAGTCCTGGGTGTTCATTGGAAGAACTGATGTTGAAGCTGAAACTCCAGTATTTTGGCCACCTGATGCGAAGAGCTGACTTATTTGAAAAGACCCTGATGTTGGGAAAGATTGAAGGCAGGAGGAGAAAGAGATGACAGATGATGAGACGGTTAGATGGCATCACTGGCTCAATGGACGTGAGTTTGGGTAAACTCTGGGAGTTGGTGATGGACAGGGAGGCCTGGCGTGCTGCAGTCCATGGAGTCGCAAAGAGTTGGACACGACTGAGCAACTGAACTGAACTGAAAGCTCAAGTTAGGATCTTCCTTAAAAGCAGCCGGTACTCAGATGGCCTCTTTGCCAAATTGTTTTAACCCTCACCCAGGCTTCAGACTCTAGTGTCACCTTTGAATCTTTTTCCTTGAGTCCAATTTGGGTCAAAATTTTGCCTACTCTGTCTTCATTATAACCCTCTTCCATGTTCACTACCAAGTTCCTCTTCCATTCCTTTTTAATTTTTTCTTTCTTCTTCCAGTTTTATTGATACAGTTGACATGTAGCACTGTTTTAAGTTGAAGATACACAGTATGGTGATTCAACCTACACATTATTAGATGATTACACTAAGTTTAATGATCATCCACCCTCACATATTGATGTAAAATTAAAGAAATAGAAAAAAAAAATTCTTCTTCCCTTGTGATGAGAACTGCCAGGATTTACTCTCTTAACAACATTCTTTTTTGTTGTAATGTATATACCTTTAAAGTTATTATTTTGCAATGGAGTATAGCCAGTTAACAGTGTTGCGATAGTTTCAGGTGGATAGCAAAGGTACTCAGCCATACATGTACATGTATCCATTCTCCCCCAGACTCCCCTCCCATCTGTGAAGCCTATGCTTTTCTGTACCCATTTTCCATGAATATCTCCCCAGCACACACTGAGTTCATCGCTTGAGCACTGTAAGCATTCATGGTTGGGTGTGTGTTCTATTACATATGTTTTTATTATTCACAGACTTATTTTTGTGCATGCATGTTTGCAAACATAGAGCACGAAACAGCTCTGCCTTAAACTTCCTGATGTCCCAGGTACTTAGGTAGTCTCTCTTACCTTTTAGGAACTCAGTAAACATTTGTTTAAATGATTTGAACACCTCATAGTATTTCTCGATGGATTAAAGTGACTATGGGATTTGGCCAGCAGCCACAAAGAAAAGAAAAGTTGGTACAATTATAGAAGAAAACGAGGAACAGTTTTTCTTCTACAATTATAGAAGAAAACTAGTTTGGATAAAGGTTATTTTGGGGGGTGCAGATAGGGTTACAGTCAGGAAGGCACATAGGTGTCTTCTGAAATGGTGATCATGTTCTTTTTCTTGGAATGTGGTTACAAGAGTGATTGTTTTATAATTGTTAAAGTATTTGTTCTGTTCTTTACGTAATATTTAGTATTAGAAAAATATTTTAAATGCTTTGTAAAATATATGTTGGAGTGGCCATTAAATTCGTTTGGGTTTTTCCGTAACATCTTACAGAAAAACCCAAATGAATTTTTTGGCCAACCCAACACTTTATTTCCTGTTTGGTTCTACATAGCTTTGCTTTCGGTTGTTTTGCTTTTTGGCCTGAGACCATGGTTTGCCACCAGTCATGACTACTCCCACACCTCCACCCACCCCCAAGACATTTGCAATGTCTGGAGACAGTTTTGGCTGTTACAACACAGAGAGAGGTGCCCAGAGAGGCCACGTGCATGTCTGACCCTCCCACAGTGAGCTGCGCCGGCCCCGCGAGAGGGCTGGCCTCGTCCCAGATGCAGTGAGCTGCGCCGGCCCCGCGAGAGGGCTGGCCTCGTCCCAGATGCAGTGAGCTGAGCCGGCCCCACGAGACGGCTGGCCTCGTCCCAGATGCAGTGAGCTGAGCCGGCCCCGCGAGAGGGCTGGCCTCGTCCCAGATGCAGTGAGCTGAGCCGGCCCCGCGAGAGGGCTGGCCTCGTCCCAGATGCAGTGAGCTGAGCCGGCCCCGCGAGAGGGCTGGCCTCGTCCCAGATGCAGTGAGCTGAGCCGGCCCCGCGAGAGGGCTGGCCTCGTCCCAGATGCAGTGAGCTGAGCCGGCCCCGCGAGAGGGCTGGCCTCGTCCCAGATGCAGTGATCTGAGCCGGCCCCGCGAGAGGGCTGGCCTCGTCCCAGATGCAGTGATCTGAGCCGGCCCCGCGAGAGGGCTGGCCTCGTCCCAGATGCAGTGAGCTGCGCCGGCCCCGCGAGAGGGCTGGCCTCGTCCCAGATGCAGTGAGCTGAGCCGGCCCCGCGAGACGGCTGGCCTCGTCCCAGATGCAGTGAGCTGAGCCGGCCCCGCGAGAGGGCTGGCCTCGTCCCAGATGCAGTGAGCTGAGCCGGCCCCGCGAGAGGGCTGGCCTCGTCCCAGATGCAGTGAGCTGAGCCGGCCCCGCGAGAGGGCTGGCCTCGTCCCAGATGCAGTGAGCTGAGCCGGCCCCGCGAGAGGGCTGGCCTCGTCCCAGATGCAGTGAGCTGAGCCGGCCCCGCGAGAGGGCTGGCCTCGTCCCAGATGCAGTGAGCTGAGCCGGCCCCGCGAGAGGGCTGGCCTCGTCCCAGATGCAGTGAGCTGAGCCGGCCCCGCGAGAGGGCTGGCCTCGTCCCAGATGCAGTGAGCTGAGCCGGCCCCGCGAGAGGGCTGGCCTCGTCCCAGATGCAGTGATCTGAGCCGGCCCCGCGAGAGGGCTGGCCTCGTCCCAGATGCAGTGAGCTGAGCCGGCCCCGCGAGAGGGCTGGCCTCGTCCCAGATGCAGTGAGCTGAGCCGGCCCCGCGAGACGGCTGGCCTCGTCCCAGATGCAGTGAGCTGAGCCGGCCCCGCGAGAGGGCTGGCCTCGTCCCAGATGCAGTGAGCTGAGCCGGCCCCGCGAGAGGGCTGGCCTCGTCCCAGATGCAGTGAGCTGAGCCGGCCCCGCGAGACGGCTGGCCTCGTCCCAGATGCAGTGAGCTGAGCCGGCCCCGCGAGAGGGCTGGCCTCGTCCCAGATGCAGTGAGCTGCGCCGGCCCCGCGAGAGGGCTGGCCTCGTCCCAGATGCAGTGAGCTGAGCCGGCCCCGCGAGAGGGCTGGCCTCGTCCCAGATGCAGTGAGCTGAGCCGGCCCCGCGAGAGGGCTGGCCTCGTCCCAGATGCAGTGAGCTGAGCCGGCCCCGCGAGAGGGCTGGCCTCGTCCCAGATGCAGTGAGCTGCGCCGGCCCCGCGAGAGGGCTGGCCTCGTCCCAGATGCAGTGAGCTGAGCCGGCCCCGCGAGAGGGCTGGCCTCGTCCCAGATGCAGTGAGCTGAGCCGGCCCCGCGAGACGGCTGGCCTCGTCCCAGATGCAGTGAGCTGAGCCGGCCCCGCGAGACGGCTGGCCTCGTCCCAGATGCAGTGATCTGAGCCGGCCCCGCGAGACGGCTGGCCTCGTCCCAGATGCAGTGATCTGAGCCGGCCCCGCGAGAGGGCTGGCCTCGTCCCAGATGCAGTGAGCTGAGCCGGCCCCGCGAGACGGCTGGCCTCGTCCCAGATGCAGTGAGCTGAGCCGGCCCCGCGAGAGGGCTGGCCTCGTCCCAGATGCAGTGAGCTGCGCCGGCCCCGCGAGAGGGCTGGCCTCGTCCCAGATGCAGTGAGTGGGGCAGAAGCTGAGTGGGGGTCGCGTCTTGACACTGGAGCACCACCATGAGTGAGACCTCAGCTGTGTCACTGTCCTGGGCCCCGTCCCCTAGTCATCTGGCTTTCTCCCTGGTACTCCAGAGAGCAAGAAGTCATGAATTTTCTCCCTTTTCCCTGACAGTCGCAAGCATTAGAGCCCCTGCTGTCTCTGGTGAGGGGATGCGGGAGTCACGAGAATTGGTGGCATGGTTTATAGGTTATTCTTCTGGCAGCTTGTCCTTGGAACATTGTGACTTCGATCATGCTGGGTGCTCTCCTTTCAGGGTGAAGACCAGGACAGCCGCCAAATACGGGCTGTCGGCGCAGCCCCGCCTGGTGGACATCATCGCCGCGGTCCCGCCTCAGTATCGGAAGGTCTTGGTCCCCAAGCTCAAGGCGAAACCCATCAGGACTGCCAGTGGGGTGAGTGATCGAATCATCACGTATTGACTGTGTATCTGTTGGGTCACAGATCCCTGCCTCCACGTAGTGAGGTGCAGGTGGGCGATTTGAATTCATAAAATCCACCTGTAGTGGTGTGTGCTGGAGTGGAGATGCGTGCAGGATGCTCGGAGAGCACCATGGGAAGAGAGTCACTTAGAGGAAAAGGTGGTGTTTTGATTTTTAGTGTCTTTAAAAATGGGGCTTCCCAGGTGGCTCAGTGGTAAAGAATCTGCCTGCCAACGCAGGAGACCTGGGTTCGATCCCTGGGTTGGGAAAATCCCCTGGAGGGGGAAATGGCAACCCACTCCAATATTCTTGCCTGGAGAATCCCATGGACAGAGGAGCCTGGTGGGCTACAGTCCATGGGGTCGCAAAAGAGTCGGATGCAACGGAGCACACACTCATTGGGCATAGGGTGGTGAGGGGGAGGGGGTCTTTAAAAGTATAGACTGAAACTTGGTGACACCAGAAGATGATAAATATTGTTGGCCACCTTAAGCTCGTGGCTTCTAACACACTTAGAAAGGGTATTTTGAAAAGTTAACTGACAATACAAAGTCATTATATTAATACGAATGGTAACTGTGAACCAGTTGACACCATTCAGGAGGGTGTCCAGAAGACAGATGTCCCTTCAGCACAAGGATCTCGGAAGGACCCAGGAGGAGGAGGTGTGGCGCTGGCTGGCGCAGAAGTGGTGCCCGTGTCAGCAGAGAAGAGCAAGTGCAGAGAGCCGTGGGAGCCAGGGGCAGGAATTAAGGCACAGATGATGTGAGAGGTGTGTGTGGGGAAACCACAAGTCTACCAGGCTCACCAGGGCTGGGCTTCACTTTGGAAAGCAGCAGGACTTCGGGGTGAAGTGTTAGTGTGGCATCTGCTTGTCAAAAGATCTGAAATGTCCCACAAGTGAAGTGAAGTGAAAGTCGCTCAGTCGTGTCCGACTCTTTGTGACCCCATGGGCTATACAGTCCGTGAAATTCTCCAGGTCAGAATGCTGGAGTGGGTAGCCGTTCCCTTCTCCAGGGGATCTCCCCGACCCAGGGATTGAACCCAGGTCTCCTGCATTGCAGGCGGATTCTTTACCCGCTAAGCCATCAGGGAAGGCCAGGTGTCCCACAAAGAAGCCAGATACGAGGAAACTAAAAGATTTTTGAGAAGGGGAGTGATGGGAACCAGAGAGATTTTCAGAAAATTAATTTGGATACAAACGTAGGGGAGGTCTTCCCTGGCAGCCCAGTGGTTAGGAATCCGCCGCCGGTACAGGGGACAGACTTCAGTCCCTGGTCCGGGGAGATCCCCCTGACCACAGGGCGCCAGCCCCGGGTGCAGCTGCAGAGCCCTGGAGCCAAGACACCGTGTGCCTGGAGCCTGTGCTCCAGAGCGGAGCCGCCGCAAAGAGAGGCCCGCACTCACCGCAGCTAGAGAAGGCCTGCGTGCGGCAGCGAAGACCTGGTGCAGCCCAAATCAGAAACAAATAAAACGCTTTATAAAGACGGAGGGTCAGTCGCTGGGAGACAAAAAGACCAGTTGGAATGCTCTCAGTTTGAGCTAGGCATGAAGAGCCTCAATTGAGGCCAGGCCTCCAGGATAAAAAGGATGCGTGTGAAAGACACAGGGTAGGATTTGGACCCTCCTAAAACTTGGGGCCCAGAGTTGAATCCTTGAATCCTTTATTCCCAGTGTGATCTAAGTTCAGTCTGTTACTTGGGCGGGCCTGTTGGACTTCTCGAAGCTCACAGTGACCTGCCAGATAGCCATCTCTCCTGGACCACATCACACTTGTGACTAATTAAACCCCTGGAATTTTGCAGAGTGTACCATCAATCCTAGTCTCTTCTCTACGCTTAAGTGTTTGGGGTTCGTTGGTTGGTTTGTACAAAAGTGTAAAAGGCTTTCAGAAAAACTCATAGTTCCAAACAAATGGCTTTTAAGTCTTAGCTGATTTCTTGGCATTTACTTCCACATCCCTAAATAATGAGCTTTCAGGATAAAGCTTGAATTGTCAGTTTTCGGCATTTTGTATGGGCTTGCCATTGTGCAAGCAAAGGTTTGTCAACCTCTGGACCTGACAACTGCACCTGGTTTCCGCGATTCCGTTCTCTGTTCTCCTCCTAGCTCGAATCATTTCTTTTCTTTCTCTGAGAGCTACCCTTGTTCTGCTTGCCTTTAAAAATGGATATTTTCTGCAGTCCCAGGCCCACTGTTTTTAGTGTCGTACACACTTTCTTTGGTGATGTCATCCGTTGATGTCTTTTGTTTTTTTTTAATGTGGATCATTTTAAAGTCTTTATTGAATTTGTTATAACATGGCTTCTGTTTTATGTTCTGTTTGTTTGGCCACGAGGCATGTGGGATCTTAGCTGCCCCACCAGGGATTGAACCCGCACCCCCTGCACTGGCAGGCGGAGTCTTAGCCACTGGATCACCAGAGAGGTCCCCACTGATGTTTTTAATACTGCCGTACGCTGACTCCCAGCTCCAGCCTTCCCCCAAACTTCATGTCCACGTCAAATTGCCTGTTAGACGTCTCTCCTTTGACTGCCTGTAGACCCTCCGGTAGAGCAAAACCAGGTTTGCTTGCTTGCTCAGACTTGCTCTTTCATCCTTCTCGACCACCTTAGTTCATGGTGCCCCTATCTATTCAGTTTCCACACTGAATAGATGAAATGCGTTGTCCATTCCATCCACCACGGGTAGGAATGTTCTGACCTTTATTGTTTCTTGTTTTGGAGGGTATTGGAGTTATTTCATAACAGGCCTGCTTTGTCTTACCTGCAGCAAATCCACCTCCTGCAGTGTCACCAGAGTCACCTACTAAAAATGTTGGGAGCACACAGCTAATTGTCATCTCTTATCTGTTGTGCATCCTAAACTCCATGCTTTTATCCCTGCTGTTACTGTTGTGCTTTGCTTTTATTTTTTTATAGAGCTTTAGGCTGACAGAACAGTTGAGCAGAAAGTACAGAGTCCCTTGTACCCCCTCTCCCCTCCCCCAGGTTGCCCTATAATTGATGCATCAATTGTTGTTGTTCAGTCGCTCAGTTGTATCCAACTCTTTGTGACCTCATGAACTGCAGCACGCCAGGCATCACTGTTCTTCACTATCTCCTGGAGTTTACTCACGCTCATGTCCGTGGAGTCGGTGATGCCATCCAACCATCTCATCTTCTGTCGCCCCCTTCTCCTGCCCTCAATCTTTCCCAGCATCACTGTCTTTTCAAGTGAGTCAGCTCTTTGCATCAGGTGGCCAAAGTTTTAGAGCTTCAGCTTCAAAATCAGTCCTTCCAATGAATATTCAAAGACTTATTTCCTTTAGGACTGATTGGTTTGATCTCCTTGCTGTCCAAGGGACTCTCAAGAGTCTTCTCCAACACCACAGTTCAAAAGCGTCAATTCTTCAGTGCTCAGCCTTCTTTATGGTCCATCTCTCACATCTATACATGACTACTGGAAAAACTGTAGCTTTGACTATAATGCTGTCTTTTTTTTCAATATTCTATCTATGTTTGTCATAGCTTTCTTCCAAGAAGCAAGCATCTTTTAATTTTAGGGCTGCAGTCACCATTCGTGGTGATTATGGAGCCCAAGAAAATAAAGTCTGTCACTGTTTCATTGTTTCCCATCTATTTGCCATGAAGTGATGGGACCAGATGCTATGATCTTTGTTTTTTGAAGGTTGAGTTTTAAGATAGTTTTTTCACTCTCCTTTTTCACCCTCATCAAGAGGCTCTTTAGTTCTTCTTTGCCTTCTGCCATTAGGGTGGTGTCATTTGCATATCTGAGGTTATTGATATTTCTCCCAGCAATCTTGATTCTAGCTTGAACTTCATCCAGCCTGGCATTTCGCACGATGTACTCTGTGTAGAACTTAAATAAGCAGGGTGATAATATACAGCCTTGATGTACTGCTTTCCCAATTTGGAACCAGTCCGTTGTTCTGTGTCCGGTTCTAACTTGTCACTTCTTGACCTGCACACAGGTTTCTCAGGAGGCAAGTAAGGTGGTCTCGTACTCCCATCGCTCTTAAATTCTTAAAATTTTCCAAGTTTGTTGTGATCCACACAGTCAAAGGCTTTAACGTAGTCAATGAAGCAGAAGTAGATGATTTTCTGGAATTCCTTTGCTCTTTCTGTGATCCAATGGATGTTGACAATTTGATCTCTGGTTCTTCTGCCTTTTCTAAATCCAGCCTTTTCTACATCTGGAAAGTCTCGGTCATGTACTGTTAAAGCCTAGCTTGAAGGATTTTGAGCATTACCTTGCTAGCCTGTGAAATAAGAGCAATTGTGCAGTAGTTTGGACATTTTTTGGGATTGGAATGAAAACTGACCTTTTCCAGTCCTGTGGCCACTGCTGAGTTTTCCAAATTTGCTGGCATATTTAGCAGCACTTTCACAGCATCATCTTTTAGGATTTGGAATAGCTCAGCTGGAATTCCATCACCTGTACTAGCTTTGTAGAGCTTCCTAAGGCCGACTTGACTTCACACTCCAGGATGTCTGGCTCTAGGTGAGTGATCCCACTATGGTTATCTGGGTCATTAAGACTTTGTATAGTTCTCCTGTGTATTGTTTCCATCTCCTCTTAATATCTTCTGCTTCTGTTAGGTCCATACAACTTCTGTCCTTTATTGTGCCCATCTTTGCATGAAATGTTCCCTTGATATCTCTAATTTTCTTGAGGAGATATCTAGTCTTTCCTATTCTATTGTTTTCCTCTATTTCTTTGAACTGTTTACTTAAGAAGGCTTTCTAATCTCTACTTGCTATTCTTTGGAACTCTGCATTCAGATGGGTATATCTTTCCTTTTCTCCTTTGCCTTTTGCTTCTCTTTTCTCAGCTATTTGTAAGGCCTCCTCCGACAACCATTTTGCCTTTTTGCATTTCTTTTTCTTGAGGATGGTTTTGATCCCTGCCTCCTGTACAGTTTTATGAACCTCTGTCTATAGTTCTTCAGGCACTCTGTCTATCAGATCTAACCTCTTGAATCTATTTGTCACTTCCACTGTATAATCATAAGGGATTTGATTTAAGTCATACCTGAATGGCCTAGTGGTTTTCCCTACTTTCTTCAACTTAAGTCTGAATTTTGCACTAAGGAGTTCATGGTCTGAGCCACAGTCAGCTCCCAGTCTTCCTTTTACTGACTGTAGAGCTTCTCCATCTTCAGCTGCAAAGAATATAATCAGTCTGATTTCAGCATTGACCATCTGGTGATGTCCTTGTGTAGGGTCGTCTCTTGTGTTGTTGGAAGAGGGCGTTTGCTATGACCAGTGTGTTTTCTTGGCTAAACTCTGTTAGCCTTTGCCCTGCTTCATTTTTCACTCCAAGACCAATCTTGCCTGTTACTCCAGGTTACTACTTCCTACTTTTGCATTCCAGTCCCCTATGATGAAAAAGACATCTTTTTTTGGTGTGTTCCTTCTGGAAGGTCTTGTACGTCTTCATAGAACTGTTCAACTTCAGCTTCTTCGGTGTTAGTGGTTGGGGCATAGACTTCAGTTACTGTTATATTGAATGGTTTGGAAATGAACAGAAATCATTCTGTCGTTTTTGTGATTGCACCCAAGTACTGTACCAGTCTTGCTACATTATTATTAACTGAAGCCTGTAGTTCACATTAGGGTCTCTCACAGTTGTATATTCTATGGGTTTTACCAAATGCACAATGTCATATATCCACCATATAGTATCATATGGAATAGTTTCACTGCCCTAAACTCCCCTAATCATGCTCTCCTCTGCCTCATACCCCTGGCCACCACAGGTCTGCTTACTGTCTCTCTCGTTTTGCCTTCCCAGAGTGCCACATGGAGGGGATCAGTGTGTTTTGTAGTTGTTTCATATTGGCTTCTGTTACTTAGCAATGTGCATTTAAGGTTTTATGCTGTGTCTTTTTAGTGGCTTGCTGGCTCATTCTTTTTAGCCCTGACTAATACTCCATTGTCTGAGTGTACTGCAGTTTGTCCCTGCACCTATTGAAGGCCACCCCAGCTGTTTCCAATTATTGGCAGTTGTGATGAACATTTGCCTGAAGGTTTTTTGTGTATGCAAAAGTTTTCAACTCATTTGAGTACCTAAAGACCTAGAGCATGATGGCTGGATTATATGGTAAGACTGTTTAGCTCTGTGAGAAACTGCCAGACTGTCTTCCAAAGTGGCTGTACCAGTGTGCATTCCCACCAACAGGGAATGATCTTGCTCCACTTGCTTGCCAGCATAGCTATCAGCCCCTCAGGAAGTCAGCTTCTCTGACTCCCCTGGTCAGGACTCACTAATGCCCTCCTTTGAGCATCACTAGTCTTTTCTATGTGCTTTTTACCGTATTTTTTGGAAATAGCTTACTTCTCTAAATCCTCCTCCCCTACTTGCGGGTATGATTTCAGAGGACAGAGGCCGTGCGTTAGTATTTCTGTAGTCTCAGGGCCCACCTGCTCTGTGTGGCTCAGAACCTGGCCTGTATTGTAGGTCCTCAGTAAAAGATTGAGAAATTAGATTGTCCTCATCAGTGGTATACATATAGCACTTATATCTCCTTTTAAATAAAAACATTTATGTGAAAATCTAAGTTTTTAATTCAGATTTGCAAAAAAAAAATTTTTTTTTTTTGGAGTTTCTCTCGCTTACTGTTTAATGATCGAAGTTAAATTTTAAGCATTTTTACTATTAAAAAATAATCACAGGCTGACAGAAAAGTTGAAAAATCCACTGGCAAGACCACTTTCTCCCTGAGCCATTTGAGAGTAAGCTGCAAAACCGATGCCTTTGGATGTTTCAACATTCATGTGCTTCCTGCAGACAAGGACACTTTCTTACATCACCACAATAAAGGCATCAAAATCAGGAATTTAACATGGATACGTTATCAGTCTCTAGTCCTCACATCTCATTCAAGTTTCAACAGCTGTCTCAATAGTAAGCTGCAGGACCCAGTTCAGAATCACGTGCTGTGTTCCATTGTCGTGGCTTTCAGTCTAGACTCTTCCCCCGTCTTTCCTGGACCTCATTACCTTAACACTTTTGAAGGTATCAGGCAAGTTGTTTCGTCTCATCTCCCCCAGTGTGGTTTAATCAGATGTGTCCTCATGATTAGACTCGGGTTGGCATCTCTGGCAGGAACGTGACAGAAGGGACAGTCTTCCTCTTACAGCCTCTCGGGTGGTGCGTGGTTTATTGTCCTGTCACTCACTTTGTCCACTGTGATGGAAGAGGTGTCTGCCAGCCATCCCCTTTGTGAAGCTACTCTTTTCCACTTTGGAATGAACAAGTCTTGTGTGGTGAAGTACTTGGAAACTATGTAAATGTCTTGTTCCTCCTCAGGCTTCCAGATTCCTCATTCATTATTTTGATGTACAAATTTTCCCAATTTTGTCCAACAGGGGCCCTTTCAAGATGGTTTCTGTTTCCTTTTCGAGTGTCCTAATCATTCTTTGAGCCGTTTCTCGCTTTCTGTCATAATAAAATGTTCCAGGCTCATCTTGTATTTTGTTTACCCCAGCCATGGAATCAGCCTTGTCTCCAGGGAGCCAAGAGTCAACTCTTCTTTGACTAGAGAAGAGTTTCGTTTCTTATTATTTTTTAAACTTTTAAATTTAATACTGGAGTAAACTGATTAGCAATATTGTGATAGTTTCAAATGGACCGCAAAGTGACCCAGCATCCATATACTCCCCTCCCATCCAGACTGCCACATGACATTGAGCGGAGTTCCCTGTCTATGCAATAGGTCTTTGTTGGCTACAGAGAAGGGCATTTAGAAACAAAGATCTGAATCCTAGATGTGCTCAATGCTGTTAGGGCGTTGCCGCTACCAGATGCTTTCAGTGAACAGAGGAAATAAACATGTAGATGTCTGTATGTACACGCACATACATGTACATAACACATTTGTGTCTATATTTATTGTGTGTGTATATATATGTACGTGTGTGTATATCTGTTGTTCAGTCATTCAGTTGTGTCCAACTCTTTGCAACTCCATGGACTGCAGGACACCAGTCTTCCCTGTCCTTCACCATCTCTTGGAGTTTGCTCAAACTCATGTCCATTGAGTCAATGATGCTATCCAACCATCTCATCCTCAGTCGACCCCTTCTCCTCCTGCCTTTGATCTTTCCCAGGATCAAAGTTTTTTCTAGTAGTCAGCTGTTTGTATCAAGTGGCCCAAAGTCTTAGAGCTTCAGCTTCAGCATCAGTCCTTCCACTGAGCATTCAGGGTTGATTTGCTTAAGGATTGACTGGTTTGATCTCCTTGCAGTCCAAGGGACCCTCAAGAGTCTTCTCCAACACCACAGTTTGAAAGCATCAGTTCTTCAGCACTCAGCCTTCTTTATGGTCCAACTCTCACATCCATACACAACTATTGGAAAAACCATAACCTCGACTATATGGACCTTTATTGGCAAAATGATATGTCTGCTTTTTAATATGCTTTCTAGATTTCTCATAACTTTTTTTCCAAGGAGCAAGCCTCTTTTAGTTTCATGGTTACAGTCACTGTTTGCAGTGATTTTGGAGCCCAAGAAAATAAAAGTCTGTCACTGTTTCCATTGTTTACCCATCTATTTGCCATGAAGTGATGGGACCAGATGCCATGATCTTTGTTTTTTGAAGGTTGAGTTTTAACACAGTTTTTCACTCTCCTCTTTCATCCTCATCAAGAGGCTCTTTAGTTCCTCTTTGCCTTCTGCCATTAGGGTGGTGTCAGCTGCATATCTGAGGTTATTGATATTTCTCCCAGCAATCTTGATTCTAGCTTGAGCTTCATCCATCCTGGCATTTTGCATGATGTACTCTGCATATAAGTTAAAAAAGCAGGGTGACAATATACAGCCTTAACATACTCCTTTTCCTGTTTTGAGTCAGTCTGTTCCATGTCCAGCTCTGTAGCTTCTTGACCTACATACAGATTTCTCAGGAGGCAGGTAAGGTGGTCTGGTATTCCCATCTCTTGAAGAATTTTCCACAGTTTGTTGTGATCTACACAGTCAAAGGCTTTGGCGTAGTCAATAAAGCAGAAGTTTTTCTGGAATTCCTTTGCTTTTTCTATGATCTGATGGATGTTGGCAATTTGATCTCTGGTTCCTCTCCTTTTCTAAATCCTGCTTGTGCGTCTGGAAGTTCTTGGTTCATGTAGTGTTGAAGCCTAACTTGAAGGATTTTGAGCATCACCTTGCTCGCGTGTAAATGAGTACAGTTGTGCAGTAGTCTGAGCATTCTTTGGCATTGCCCTGCTTTGGGATTGGCATGAAAACTGACCTTTTCCAGTCCTGTGGCCACTGCTCAGTTTTTCAAATTTGCTGACATATTGCGTGCAGCAATTTTTTTTTTTTTTCATTTAAAGGATTTTATTTCTCCAGATAGGAAGGCTATAAAGTTAAATCCTTGATAACCAAAATTTAATATAATACTTCATTCTTCAAAACAACCACAGACTTTTGAGCACTGGACACCCAGGTTACACAAAGCCCAAACCTTCATGCTTTCTCAGTAAATGTACATCTTTCCCAAGAGGCCTTGCATGCCAACGCCACAGCTGAAATTCCTGTTACAGGACTGAACCAAACTGAAATCAGGCCACAGTCAACCTGCATCGGCCCTGATGTACCCAGGGCTCTGGTCCAGTTCTTTCCCGGTCCTGGATCCATCGTGGTCTGTCTGCTGCCAACCGTGAGCCCCAGAGGTCAGGAAACTGGAGGTTGTGCATGTCTACACGTGGTTCCCTTGGAGCTCCAGCAGGGACCCCTCCTCCAAGATTCATTGTGTACCGTCTGATCTGAAGATTAATAACATTGAAAAGAGATCACCCTTGTACCCCCGGCTTTATTTAAGAAACACAACGTCACAAACGCTTTTGAAGCCTGTTGTGGTCCTCTCCCGTTTTCTGAGATAACCACTCTCCAGAATTTCCTATGAATTATTTCACAATTGCTTTTTTATTAATCTTTCTATTATAGATTGCTGTTGTGGCTGTCATGTGCAAACCCCACAGATGTCCACACATCAGTTTTACAGGAAATATATGTGTGTGAGTATGATGATTTTAATAAGTCGTGTATGTGTTTGCATTTTAATTGATACAGCAAGCGCTAGAGACTTGATCAGTGCATGCTGGTAATATTTTAAACTTTAACTATTAAAGATTCATAAGTTAGTTCTTTGAAATAAGCAGCCATTAATAGGATATTTCAATCCTTTAAAAATGAAACATATAAAGATTTTAATTGTTTCAATATACAATACATAGGTTGCAGAACTCAAAACAGTAGATAGTCTGTTAACTTGATAAATGAAACATGGAAGTATGAGAAGCCTGAATTCCAAATGTCAGAAATTTTAAATGAATTTGGATCAGCAAATATCCCAAAAACGTTACCCCTATAAATAATCTTTAAACTTCTTAAGTTTAAATAATTAGAAAAATTAGTAGACTATGCATTATTCTAGATAGTAAGATTAATTGGGAGAAAAATTTTCTTAAGTGTAGTTACCAAGAGTGTCAGTCCAAACTAGGAAAATTTAGACGCTGCTATTTGCCCCTAAAAGCTTAAACTTCTAAAATGATAGTGCGTTGATATACAATACGTGTTTTTCTCTTTCTGACTTGCTTCACTCTGTATGACAGTCTCGGTCCATCCACGTCTCTACAAATGACCCAGTTCTGTGCCTCTTTATGGCAGAGTAATACTCCAGTGTGTAGATGCACTGCGTCGTCCTCATCCATCTGTCTGTCATTGGACATTTAGGCTGTGTCTAACGCAGAGATGAGGAATCTAGAGAAATGATTCAGGTTGACCCATCTCCAGGGCGGGAGCAGAGATGCAGATGCAGGGGATGGACATGCGGACCCAGGGCAGGAGGCAGAGGGTGGGACGGATCGCGAGCGCGTTGCTGACCCTCGCAGCGCCGTGTGTAAGATGAGAGCTGCTGGGACGACTCTGAGCAGCATAGGGAGCTCATCTCGGTGCCCCGCGAGGACCTAGGGGGTGGGGTGGGGTGGGAGGGAGGCTCAGGAAGGGGGAGATAAATGTGTACACACAGCGGATTCACTTCATCACCAGCAGAAACCAACACAGCCTTGGACAGCGATTATACGCCAGTAAAAAAATAAAATGATAGTGACGGCACTACTCTGCAAACTACGGCAATGTTGTTCCTTTATTTGTTTACCTTTCTACTTGTTAGTAGAAAATGTAAATATTTGCAGATAGCACAAAGGTGCAATCTTCTGTTAGCATTTGAAAATGAAGCTGGTTCAAGGAGGATTGTATGGAGACTTCAAGTGCCCGAACTGGACAGTTGAGCTGAGTTCTGAATCTGACACCCTCATCCTTTTGTTGTATTGGCAGGTACTGCCCTGGCGGACCTGATTCAGATTTCGAATATTCCACCCAGTCTTACACTGGATATGAGGTAAAGTAATGTCCGGAGGGGTGTTATATCATACTTTACTTAGCATATGCTTTTACAAGTACTGGCTTTCTTAAAATTTTTATTTCTTTTTTTTTTTATTGATTGCACAAGTTACTCATTCATGAAACATTTGCCAAGTGCTTCTATATATTGTTCCAGTCACTGCAGAAATATTTACCTAAGCACTTATTATTAACAGAACGTATGTCAACACTGTTCTAAACACGTTACAACTTTAAATCTTCTGGCAGCATTTTGAAGGTAGACACTATTATTATCATAGTTTTATGGATAAGGAAACTGGAGCCTACACAGCTGGCCTGGAGGACACATCCCGAATGTAACAGGGCCAGGCCTTGAATTCTGTGCACCTCACCAGGACATTTTCCTGCCTCTGCAGCTGTGAAGAAAACAGGTCAGGTCTTGTGGAATCTGCATTCTAATGAGTGGAAGGTAGATAGTAATGATGCTGGGAAAGGCTGAAGGCAAAAGAAGAGTGCAGCAGAGGATGCGGTGGTTGGATGGCATCACCGACTCAATGGTCATGAGCTTGAGCAAATTCCAGGAGACAGTGAGGGACAGGGAAGTCTGCGACTGGACAACAACAAGACAGTAATGAAACAAAAGAAAAAATAATCAGGCACCAGTTAAAATGAGAAGCAGGGAAGTAAAGTCAAGTAAAATATAGGAGAGAGTAAAGTCAAGTAAGATATAGGAGAGAGTGACTTTAGCGTTGAGGCTGGGAAGGGTGACGTGGTAACTGAGCCCTGGATGACAAGGCAGCTTTTGAGAAAATCAAGAAAGAGCATCCTTAGCAGAGAGAATAGATAAAAGGCAGAGCCAGAGTGGGAATAACGGTGGGGCCCTGGAGCAGAGCGGGTGAGGGGAGAATGAGATTTGGGATTCAGCGACACAGAGAGTTGTAAGGCAAGGCAAGAAGTTTGTTATACTGGGCTGGCCAAAATGTTTGTCCAGGTTTTTCCATAAACTGTTAAGGAAAAACCCGAGTGAACTTTTTGGCCAACCCAATGGCTGTCATGTGCAGCCAGCCAGGTTTAAAGCAGAGGAGTGTTCAGGATGGGGAACACATGTAAATCCATGGCTGATTCATGTCAATGTATGGCAAAAACCACTACAATATTGTAATTAGCCTCCAACTAATAAAAACAAATGAAAAAAAAATAAAGCAGAGGAATGGTATAATCCAGGTAGGTCCTTAAGAGGCCTTCGATGGCTCTTGCGGGGGCAAGAGTGGGAGCAGGAGGCCGGAGAGCAGGCTTTCCAAGCAGTGAACCCTTTCAGAAGAGGCTGGCAGCCAGCAACCTAAGTGATTTTTTTTTTTTATCTTCTCATGTATGGTTTTTCATTTTTTTCCCTTTTTTAAAAAAATAGATCAAATTGTAAAAAATACAAAAGAAATCTCTCAGTGAAAAGGCTCCCTCTCATCGCTTTCCCTGGCCACCCCATTTGGCTCCAGCCCCCTGAACAGCCCATCAGTATCGTCCCTTTCCTGTTCATCCAGCATCAATATTAACAGCATATAGATATAAAGGCAGTTCATGTTGTTTATCCTAACTTTGTACACAGCAGGTAGTCTGTCAAGAGCTTGCCTTTCTCACTTAACAGTGTGTCTTCAGGGAACATTTTGTTCTCTTTATTCATTATTTTTGGCTGTGCTGTCTTTGTTGCCGCACACAGTCTTTCTCTTGCGGAGCACAGGTTCCAGGCACGCGGCTTCAGTCGTCGCAGTGCAACGGCTCAGTAGCTGGGAACGTTTCCTGCCAGGACATTATTTCGTGGCCGTTGACCTTTGTAAGACAGCATGAAGACTTCGTGTTAAGCCATCACAAACTATGTTGTAATTTAATGATCTGGCTCAAAGGTTATTTTCTCAAGGAACTCTTTCGAATATGCATACACACCTCTGTCTGGAGCAGCAAAACAATTTGGTGGCCCTGGGGATGCCATCAGCGTTTACACAAAGCTGTAACTATGACCCAGGGAGCCGCCTGCTGTTGAATGGAGACCAGCCAGATAATCTTCAGGTCATTATTTCAAACCGACCAAACTGAGGAAGGAAGAAAGGAGCCCAAGAGAATTTTAGTTTTTTATACAACCCCTTTGAAAGTACATCTTATTTTTAATTCAGTGTGGGCATGACAGGATATTTTTCTTTTTTTAGCCAACCTCCATGCGAGCTATCCGTGCCAGGTATGACCCTTACCTGCAGACAAGACACCGGATAGAACAGGTAAGGTTTTAAAAAGCATTTTTACATTAGATCTTTATATTTAGGAGGTACTGTTGCTTGATTTGAGTCAAACCAGAACTGAGAGAATATTTCTCTCCTTCATAAGTTTTTAATATCCCATCTGATGGAGAGGAAAATTTTGCAGTTCCTAGCAGAGTCAAAAGCACCACTTGCTTTAAAGATCATATTATTTTCTGTAAGGGTTTTATAGTCTCTGAAGTTCTTTGAGTTTGTAGAAAGTCATGCATGTTATGAAACTTAGAGTCTGTGGCAGTTTCGAAGGTCTTAGACAACAGGTGGGTGGATTGAATTTTAGCTTTCGTAAGCCAAATGAGAAATATGGTGGCTGGTTTGCTGGGGTGAGAATAGGAAATTGACTTCAGGGGAATGAGGGACTCGTGGGAGTCGTGGAATTGTTCTGTATAATGGTGGTGGTGGTGGTGGTGGTGGTTACACAACTCTAAACTCATTTAATTGTACAATTAACGTTAATGGATTTTGTTGTATGGGGTTGGCCAGGAAAGTTTCAACATCCTACGGAAAAACCCAATGAACTTTTTGGCCAACCCAATGTATAAATTATACCTTAATGTAACTGATTAAAAGCAAGTACTATGTCAGTGGCCTTGCTGTGTTCAAGAAGTCTGAACATTAATTTCATCTTAAACTTATCTAATTTAAAACAACGCAAGCACTGTCTATAGTTTTTATAGTAACATCTAGTCGGGCAACTAGACAGTCTGAAATGGAAAGTAACACGTAATAGAAACTCACTTCTGTGTTCTTTTCTTTTTTAGCCACGATATTTAATTTATTTAAAATGTGTCAGTAAAGCTCGAAAGGTTTCTCTTTACCAAAAAGGAGCATAGGTTCTGGAAGATGCAGAAAACACCAGAGAGTAGTGATTCTTCCCCAGCTGTAAATGTGCTAGAATCACCTGTGTGATGTTTTCAAAACACATGCCAGTTTTCACCATTGGAGTTATATGGTGCTGTCTGGTTTAGGGTCCAGGCAAGATATTTTGAAAAAGCTACCAGGAAGATTTAATTGTGTATCCCTGGTGAACGACCATAGATGGAGTATTCTTTTAGTGTTGATAGCTATATGCACATACTTGTATATTTTCATGTGTTTCACATTCATACACATACACTTATGTATGTGTAAGGATTTACATATGTATTGGGTTGGCCAAAAAGTTCATTTGGATTTTTCCATAAGATGTTATGAAAAAGCCCGAATGAAGTTTTTGGCCAACCTAATATAAGGATGTGTGTATTTATTTATAAGTTGCTATTTTTCACTTTCAGAAATAAGTATTCAAAAAGATAACTTTTTGCTCATATTAAGTGTGGATATCCTCTTAGTACATTAGAGTTCATAATTTGTAGTCCACTTGACTGAGTTTTTCTCAAGCCTAACACCTGGCAAGAAATCGAAATACTTGTTTTTAAATATTAGAATCTTGACTTATTGTTGTTGAAAAATGGAAACATCTGTACCATTGTATCCCCACGTAGAGGAGATATTACATTTCACACTGATTTCCCCCCCCACCCCTGAAACCAGGCTAAAAAGGTGCCACCTGTGTCCAGAATCTTTACAATTCAAAACTGCAGAGTTTTCATTTGAAACTGCTTTCTTAATGCTTCTTTCTAATCTGGTGTTCTCTTTCTTTCGTTTGCATCAGGTCTTGGTTATAGTGCATATAGTCGTCTTTGTCCTCAACGCTGACCTCAAGGTCTGGCATAAAGTACATGTTGAGGGGGCTTCCCTGGTGGCCCAGTGGTTAAGGCTTTGCCTTCCAGTGCAGGGCACAGGTTCAGTCCCTAGTCAGGGAGCTGAGATCCTCTGTGCCTCCTGGGAAAAAAACAAAACATAAAACAAGCAGTCTGGTAGCAAATTTAGTGAAGTCTTCTTAAAAAATACATAATCAAGAAATATTTGTTTATTCTATTACAGTGTATACAATTATATCTTGTTTGATTATTTTTGCCCCTAATTTATATTCTGTATTTTTGAATGTTCACTTAACTCTGTAAGTTGACATCAAACTTTTGATTATATCAAATTCTTACTCTTCCTCCTTATTTGAACCATAATTATTTTTCTTTCAGACTCTGGAGCCTATTTTCTTGAGTCCGTAGAATTTGCTCAACGTGTTTGCTTCTCATTTTTAAACTGTAGTGATGAAAACACTGCCAAGTACAATTAGAAATTTTCAGTAAGCCACTTAAGAGTAGTTGACTATACCTTCCTAATGCTGACGAATTTATGTCTTTCAGTTAAAACAACTTGGTCACAGTGTGGATAAAGTGGAATTTATCGTGATGGGTGGAACATTTATGGCCCTTCCAGAAGAATACAGAGATTATTTTATTCGAAATTTACATGATGCCTTATCAGGACATACCTCCAACAATATTTATGAGGCCGTCAAGTAAGAAATCCTTACTTTATCGTATTCACCTGAGTGGTTGTTGGTTTATCCTCCTGGCAGCAGTCTGTGAGAATTCCTTCTGCTCTATGTCTATCCTCCTAGTTCTTTGGGGGACAAAGGGAGAGGTTTTCATTCTTTTTACTTGCATGGTTTTCATGGATTGTAAGGTTAAATACATTTTTTCCAATTTTACTGAGATGTAGTTGACATATAATACTGTCTACAGGTGTGTAGAATAATGACTTCACTTACATCATGAAATGATGACCACAATAAGTTTAGTTAACAAAAATCATCTCATGCAGTCCTAGTTCTGTTGTTACTACTATATTGTGAGGAGAAGGATTATGTTTTTTTTAAGTGAGTATGGTCCACTGGCATTAGTATTCTCACAAAGTCACTGTGCAAAAGAATAAAAAGAAAGGAAAAACAACAAAACATACAAAATCACTCTGCAGATCTTTTCGGCCTTAGGCTGGTCTAAGCTGCAGGAGTGGCCTTGATTGGAGCTGGTGAGCTCACCCAGAAAAAGCAAGGGCAGTACTTTTAATCTGAGACATTGAGCTACTAGAAAATTCACAGAACAAATGACTGTTATTTAATAGGTGTTGTTTTATGACTTACTGTCTGATGACTGTAGAGTCATTTCTCTTTGCGAATGGGATCATTTATTCGTTTCAAATTCTAGACAAAAAATTCTAGTCAAAACAGAAGACAGCTATGCTTTCTTTTGATACCTTCTGTCTCCATTTATAGCGAGAAGAAAACTAAAGCTTCCTAAGTTTAGTGATTTTAGAAGTGAAAGTCTTAAAACAGTTTTTATTTTCAGAAATTTCAGGGACACCTGGCTAAGCTACTGTGTACTCTCCCTTTTTTAACTGAACGTTAATTGAAGGCCCACCAGGGAACCATGCTCTGCCTTGGGTAGTGGGAACAACACAGTGAACAAGACAGATGTTTTCCTTGCCCTGGCATTCTCCTGGTTCAACAGATAACAAACAGTAGGTGCAGTGATGGAGACAGACTGCTGTGCTGGAGAAAACACAGGCTGATTCTGTACACGAAGTGGTGATGTTTAAGCTGAGATCAGAAGTATATGGAGGAGTCAGTCAGGCCAGGCACAGAAAACAAATAAGACAGAGACCCTGAAGCAAGGAGGAAACTTGAGGTGTTCCAGGAACAAAGAGGAGGCAGATGTGGCTAGATTCCAGTGAAGCAAGGAGCAGATGTCATGAGCGGAACTTGAAGTCAGTTGTGCTGGATGTTGAAGACTTAAAAACGTTTGAATCAGCAGTAGGAAGTAGGTGAATGGTTTGAAGCCAGAGAGTGACATGTTCAGGTTTGTAGGTCTGAAGTCACCCTGGCTCTTGCGTGGCTAGTGGATTTGAGGGGTGCCAGAGCAGAAGTGGTAAGCCAGGTGGGAGACTGTTGTACCCACCCCTGCTCGAATGAGGGTGGTGGCATCAGTGACAGAAAAGAGTAGATGAGTTAGAGCTATATTTTATTGCTGATGGACTTTGAATCAGGTTGGAAATAAGAAAGAGGAAGGAATTGAGGATGACACCCAGTTTTGGATTGTAGAAAGCAATCAAGGGTAGTGCTGCCTACCAAGATGGAAGAACGGGGGAAAGAACAGGTTTGTGGGAGAAAAGTCAAGACTTTTACTTTGGCTTCATTAAGTTTGAAATGCCTCAAGTGGGGACATTTCTAGGCGTACAAGAGATGTCTGGGCTGGCGATAAATGTTCCAGAAAAAAAATGTTCTGTAACATTTCATGGAAAAACCTAAACGAACTTTTGGCCAGCCCTATAAAACTGAGGATTATCAGATTGTTACAGGTGTTTATCCTAACACGAATGGTGAGCTTACCTTATGGGAGAGTCTCATGAATCTCCAAGGCACACTACATGAAAAAGCAAGTTTTAGAGCACCTGTTACTGTGTGATCCCGTCTTTTGTGTGGCCATGCCTGTGTAAGTATAAATACATGGAAGAGGTGATGGAATCTTGGTCATCATTGGCATCCTTTAGAACCGTGGTGGAAGGGACGTGGGAAATGGGAGTGAACGGGGACAGTCACATTTACTCTGTCTGCGGTGTGCTGGGCGCTGCAATAAGTATTTACTTACCTAATTCTTGCAAGAAATCTTTGAGTTACATATTTAAATCATCCCTGTTTTACAAGTGAGGAAACTAAGGCCCAGAGAGATGAAGCCACTTGGCCCAGGTCCACAGGAGGTGAAGTGGGGGCCTGTGAAGCCAAGGCATCTTTTCTTTCAGAGCCTAAACTTGGCTATAATTATAATGCAGGACATCATGCCAGGCGTAAAACCAATGAGAGTGCCTGTCTTTGTGTGTGTGAGCACGCGTTTGTGTACATCACCAGAGCTTCAAAATACTGGAAGAAATTTTTTTTTTCCTTGCAGTCCCTCTCCCACTGCCTTCAGGCTTTTTTTTTTTCTGGCGATTTTTTTATTACAGTGTGGATAGGTTGGGTGCAGGAAAACAGCTAATTATAAGGTGGTTCAAACAGTGCCCCTCTTAGTTTTTTGCAGGGTGATAAGTAGGACTTGAATGAACTCAAAGATGCTTTCATTATCCTGTAATTAAAATGGCTCTTGGCATGTAGCAGCCACAAGTAAACTGGTGAATGAATTTTGAATGATCGTCTGTTGGCCGGATGTCGACAACTAATGACCGCGTAGTGGTGCCTCTTGGAATGGGGGACAGGGTGCTGTGTTCACCCTACTTCAGTGCCCTTAATGTCTGCTGCCCTTTGGGTTGGTAAAAATGAAAAGAGTAGAGAGAATTTTTAATAAGTTTAAATAAATCTCCGGGTTTTGAAATATGAGGGAAGTGGGCAGGACACAACCTTTAAAAGAATGAGATGGGCTTATGTGTGCCTCTCTGCTCTGTCGTGTCCAGTTCTTTGCGAACCCATGGACTGTAGCCCACCCAACTCCTGCTGGTGGAATTTCCCAGACAAGAAGACTGGAGTGGGTTGCCATTTCCTTCTCTAGGGGATCTTCCTGACCCAAGGATCAAACCCAGGTCTCTTGCATCTTCTACATTGGCAGGCAAATTCTTTACCATTAAGCCACCTGGGAAACCCATGACATGGCCATGAGACATGACAGACTGGTTGGAACCAAGATGGTGAAACAGTTAGCCTCTAGTAGACACTGAGCCTTATCTTACACTCATTGTAATACATTAGCATGCTAAATAGCACACCCACCAGCACCATAACAGTTCTAAGGCTAACCAAAGAGGTCAAAAGTGGATGGTGATTGCTGGAAATCTCTGCCCTTCCCCAAAATAATTAGGATAATTCTCCCACTTATCATAGTTATTGTTCAGTCACTCAGTCATGTCCAACTCTGCTATCCCATGGACTGCAGCACACAGGATTCCCTGTCCTTCACTATCTCCCAGAGTTTGCTAAAACTCATATCCATTGAGTAGGTGATGCAATCCAACCATCTCATCGTCTGCCACCTCCTTCTCCTCCGACCCTCAATCTTTCGCAGCATCAGGGTCTTTTTCAATGAGTTGGCTCTTTGTATCAGGTGACCAAAGTATTGGAGTTTCAACTTCAGCATCAGTCGTTCCTATGAATATTCAGGGCTGATTTCCTTTAGAATTGACTGGTTTGATCTCTTTGCTGTCCACGGGACTCTAAAGAGTCTTCTCCAACACCGCAGTTCAAAAGCATCAATTCTTTGGCGCTCAGCCTTCTTTATGGTCCAACTCTCTCATCCATACATGACCACTGGAAAAGCCATAGCTTTGACTAGATGGACCTTTATCAGCAAAGTGATGTCTCTGCCTTTTTTTTTTTTTTTTTTTTAATTTTATTTTTTTTTTATCACAACCATAGTGTATCTTTTTTTTTTTTTTTTTTTTTTACATGTATTCCCCATCTCGGTCCCCCCTCCCACCTCCCTCTCCACCCAATCCCTCTGGGTCTTCCCAGTGCACCAGGCCCGAGCACTTGTCTCGTGCACCCAACCTGGGCTGGTGAACTGTTTCACCCTAGATAATATACGTGTTTCAATGATGTTCTCTTGAAACATCCCACCCTCGCCTTCTCCCAGAGTCCACAAGTCTGTTCTATACATAGGAGTCTCTTTTTCTGTTTTGCACATAGGGTTATCGTTACCATCTTTCTAAATTCCATATATATGTGTTAGTATACTGTAATGGTCTTTATCTTTCAGGCTTACTTCGCTCTGTATAATGGGCTCCAGTTTCATCCATCTCATTAGAACTGATTCAAATGCATTCTTTTTAGTGGCTGAGTAATATTCCATGGTGTATATGTACCACAGCTTCCTCATCCATTCATCTGCTGATGGGCATCTAGGTTGCTTCCATGTCCTGGCTATTATAAACAGTGCTGCGATGAACATTGGGGTACACGTGTCTCTTTCAGATCTGGTTTCCTCGGTGTGTATGCCCAGAAGTGGGATTGCTGGGTCATATGGCAGTTCTATTTCCAGCTTTTTAAGAAATCTCCACACTGTTTTCCATAGTGGCTGTACTAATTTGCATTCCCACCAACAGTGTAAGAGGGTTCCCTTTTCTCCACACCCTCTCCAGCATTTATTGCTTGTAGACTTTTGGATAGCAGCCATCCTGACTGGTGTGTAATGGTACCTCATTGTGGTTTTGATTTGCATTTCTCTGATAATGAGTGATGTTGAGCATCTTTTCATGTGTTTGTTAGCCATCTGTATGTCTTCCTTGGAGAAATGTCTGTTCAGTTCTTTGGCCCATTTTTTGATCTCTGCCTTTTAATACACTGTCTAGGTTTGTCATGGCTTTTCTTCCAAGGAGCAAGCGTCTTTTAATTTCATGGCTGCAGTCACCATCTGCAGTGATTTTGGAGCCCAAGAAAATAAAGTCTGACACTGTTTCCACTGTCTCCCCATCTGTTTGCATGAAGTGATGGGACCAGATTCACTTCTTACCTATCACTTCTTTTCAGAATTTTTTTGT